CGAGCCGGCTGGGGGCGAGGAGATGAGCGGCGGCCCCGCGGCAGCGCCCCAGGTAGACGTGCCGCCCCCTCGCGGAGCCGTGGCGTCTCCAAGCCGGCCCTGCGCCCCCCTCCCCACCCCCCACTGCCTGGGGCTTCAGAACTTGTGGGCTGTGATGGGGCGCCTTTAATTTATAATGTGTTTCGTTTTCCACAGGATGGGGAGGGATGCGCGGCAGTGCCATCGGAAACTGGCGCTCCGGTGAAGTAGGAGCCGCCGGCCGTCCGCCTGCACCGAGCCGTTCAGCGCCGCGGCCGCACGGCCTCTGCCATGGCCGGATCGGGCGCGTGGAAGCGCCTCAAATCTCTGCTGAGGAAGGATGATGCGCCTCTGTTTTTGAATGACACCAGCGCCTTCGACTTCTCTGACGAGGTTGGGTACGAGGGGCTTTCTCGATTTAATAAACTTCGAGTTGTGGTGGCCGATGATGGCTCTGAAACCCCGGAAAGGCCTATTAACGGGGCACACGCAGCCCTCCAGGGCGACGATGATTCCCTACTGGACCAGGACTTACCTTTGACCAATAGCCAGCTGAGTTTGAAGGTGGACCCTTGTGACAACTGCAGCAAACGGAGAGAGTTGCTGAAGCAGAGAAAGGTGAAAACCAGGTTGACCATTGCTGCCGTTCTGTACTTGCTTTTCATGATTGGAGAACTTGTAGGTGAGTTGTGTTGCCAACTCACTTGCCATTAACATTTGTCAAGCTTTAGTTACACGTGATTTGAGATTTAAACTTTCTTTTCAGGAAGCGTGTGATGGGAAAAGGCCACACAGTTCCAAAGTGCAGACCAACCTATGTACAACATAAACTTATTATATTAATATCTTCGTTGTGTATCATGTAACTTCCTCTTTTTAAAAAAACTCTGGTAAAACACCAGGTTAGTTTTGCAACTTTTAAAATAGTAAATGATTCTAAAATTACTTAGAGTCATAAAATTTTACAGTACGAATGAAGGAACCTTCCTGGACACCTGCTCTACCTTTTTTTTTTTCACATTAGGGATCTGAGGGCCCAGAGAGTAACGTTAAATAAATTGTGAGGAAATTAGATGGTAATGGAAGAGCCACATCTACATTCCTAGCCTCCTGATTTTTTTCTCTCATTTGGCTTAAGTGATCTCTTTATACCATTCCTTTTGGACTTATAGCCAAGAGATTTGCAGAATTAAATACTACTAGCTAACTTGAAAGTTTTTCACTATAAAGAAGAACTGAAAGGAACCAGAAAATGGCTCCCCCAGGATTGATGAACTTGGTTTTTAATTTTTTAATTATTTATGTAATACATTCACTATAAAATATATTTTGTTTAGAGATTAATTTCATAGTCACAGTGTAACTTCTCTTAGTGGCTATTTACAAAGTGACATTAAAACAGGTAAATCATTCTGCGATGTTATCTCTTAGTGATAAACCATGATGAGAACAGAGGTGGTAGTCCAGATTTAAGGGGCTGGTTGGAGATTGAATGTAGAAAAACTGTATACATTTCCTACCTCATTTCATATCACTCCTCCCAGTGCTCACTTCAGCCAAGCTGGCCACCTTTCTCTCTACAATTCATAAAGTTCTTTCTTGCCCATAAGGCCTTCGGGCTGGCTGGTCCCTCTACCTCAGTGGCTTTTAAATTTTTTTGACCTCACTATAGTAAATACAATTAATATTGTGACTCATGTAGGTGTGTATGCATTCATATGTATGTGTATACACATACACACAATGTATAAATACATGTATAACCGAAACAGAAGTTTTATTTCATATGATGTGTGCTAATATTTTTTTCAACTGTGGTCCCAGCCCACTTAATTGATTTTGTGGTCAGGGCCTGCAGCTTGGAAAACACTGCTTTATATGGATTGCCTTTTCCCAAATCTTCTGTTGGCAGGTTTCTTGTCATTCATGTCTCATCTCAAAAGATGACTCGGAGAGACCTTTTCTAACTGACCTCTCTTCTCCCTTGTTGTGTCCTCCACTTTAAAAGCCTTCAGCATCTGAGATTATCTTGTTCGTATATTTACTTATTTAATATCTGTCTTTCTCCACTGAAATAGGAGCTGAATTCCCAGCACCTAGAACAACGACTGACTCAGAGTAGACACTCAATAATTTTTTGTTGAATTAATTTTTATTGTGTTAGAGTGTTATAAATGCTTAAGCTGTAGAAGAAATTAAAAAACAGGAGTGAAGCCGTGGCTAGATATGGCATGGTGTTAGCAGACTAAAACTCAGTGACTTACCCAAATTCATACAGCTTGAATATTGAGTCATTCTGACTTAGTGATTCTTAAAGTTAACATTTAGTATTTGAAGTTAAAAATCACATTATTCCAGAGTTTCCCCTGTGAAATTTAGAATTCATTTTGCCTAAAAATATTAAGACCTAACTGTCCTGACTTACCATTTTTGAAATCTCTTTATTTGGTAAATGTTGTTTTGTGAAAGCCACAATAATTATTTCCTTTCACATACTGACTTTATTTTCAAATATGAAAATCTTTTGTTAGACAATACAGAGTTGTTAGGATTGGCATTAGGATAAGGCATTAACACTATTATTCAGAATGTTATATAGAATTAAGTTACATACAGTAGCGTATTTATTAAGTGTGTCAAAAGCACGTAGAAATAAAGCATTTTTTTTAGGAAGCAGAGAGTAATTTAAAGATCTGAAAAAGGAGACTTGATTTTTAATCTTGGATTTGCCACTAACCTGAGACCTTAGACAAGGTCCATTCTTTTCCTCCTTCCATTCAGCAAATATTTTTTGAGTACTTACTATGTGTCAAGCACCGTGCTGTGTATTCTGGATATACAATGGAGAACAAAACTATTATGATCCCTACTATCTGAAGCATTTAATCTAAGAGGACACAGATGTTAAACAAATAAATACACAAGTAATTTAAAATTCAGATTGTCTTAAGTGCTATGAAGAAAAAGAACAAGGAGCTATAAGACGTTATAACCAGTAGGGCATAGTTTATGCATGAGCCAGATATGGTTAAACCGAAAAAAAAAAGAATAGCAGGAGTTATTTAAGCAAGGGAGTAGAGAAGTTTCCAAGTGAAGAGAACAGTGTGTACAAAGGTCCTAAAACCTGCAATTCTTTAAAATGACCTAAAAAGAAAGCCAGTTTGGCTGGAGT